TTCGTGTTCGGCTCGTTAACTTATCGAACGAAATTAACGAGCCAAACACGAGCTTCTTAACGAGCCGAATACGAGCTGTTCACGAACAACGAGCCGTTTTGACAGCCCTATTTGCGATTTAATTAAAAGTTGAGAATAATTTGATTATATATATATAAATAGACACACATACAAAAGTTGAAAACTCTATTCTGAGTTAGTTCTACTGAGCTTGATTTTGAGCTCTCTATTATATGAATGCATGTGAGTGGATTTGATGATATGTGAACACAACAAGCGTGAACAGCCAACCATTGCACTGTCAAAATTGCATTTATTCATATAGATTTTCGTTTTCTTCTATTGTTTGTTGAGCGTTGTTAGGTAAATTTTAATTAGAAAAATCTCATCTTTTTTGTATTATTTAGAACAGCCATAAATTAGTACAATGAATATTTTATTCATGTCTCTTTGTTTGCTCATATTATGCTATTCTTCTAGCGTATTATTGGAGGTTATAAAGTAAATAAATAGTTTTTTTATTTGAATTTTTATTGTTATTAAAGTTTCTTTATTTTAAATAGATTATTATGGAATTTTTGAATTTAAAATCTCTAATAATATTATTTGTGAAAAATATTATTAAAATCTTGATTTAAAACACTACTAAGTTTTCAACTTACGCTCCTCTGCTAGGTTCTGTGAATTTCTTCCAAGGCCTAACAAGCGGGAAGTGACACCTATATTTGACTCGATTTGATCCTAATTCTTCAAAATTAATTTAAAGATCAGCACAAGTCAAAATTTTGATTAGTAGACCGGCTTCATACAGTCCCAATCTATTTAACTTTATTATTGTTCTTCAAGTTATTTGCCAACATGCTCAACAATAATTTCTTCATATCTTCTTTAAGTTAATGATACATGTTATGAATCTTACTAGGATTAAAATTTATTAGAACTAAATTCACTATCTTTCACGATTCGATTTAGGGCCCGTTTGGAGCAGCTTATAAGTGCACTGCATATTTTAAAACACCGTCTAACCATTTGATTTGCACGTTTTTAAAAATACTGTACGTCGCATTTAAATTTTTTACACTAAACACAATGTGAAAAGCAAAAGATCCAGGATAAGCTTAATCTTATTTGTAATCATTACGGGCGTTCTTATAAAATGACAGGCTGCTCGTGGGGCCTACAGGTACGGACAAGAGGAAGTCGCCAAACAGACCCGACCGCCCATGAATAGTTTCAACCAAATCAGTCACATCGGTTCTCAGAAATCACAAATTAAATCCTTATAAATAAAAAAAGGGGTAATTGCAAACATAGCAATTGAAGCATTGCTATTTACAAACTAGCACCTTTTCAACTTTATGAAAACACCTCCTAACCAATTGATTTGCGCATTTTTGAAAACGCTGTCTGTCACGTTTGAGTTTTTTACACTAAACGCAGTCCGCAGGTCGACCCCAACGCACAAGCTGCCCCAAACAGACTCCTAATCTCAAGCATATGCATACCGCATATGCATATAAGTGTGTTACTCTCTTTTAACTCCATGCATATAAATAGATAACAACTAATATTGCACACTCTTATACTATTTGGCATATTAGCCTTAATAAATATTGATTGAGTTATAACTTTTTTGAGTATGTCAAAAGCTAGTAAATGTAATATGGTTAAAGTTTTTTTTAGATATACTTTTTCAAAAAAATAAGAACTTAGAGACCAATTGGGATTTTTTTTTGTGTTTTTATTTTATTTTGTTTATGCCTTGATTTAAAGCAAAATTTATTTACCAAGCTAAACATATATTAGCTTGTTCTAAAAAAGAAGCTAAACAGTTTTTAATTGTTTTTGGCATTTTAAAAATAAGTTGATTTGTTTTAAAAAAATAAAATAAAGTATATAAAAACACATCAAATATAAATATTTTAATTAAAAGTAGACTATTTTTTTTTTTATTGTTCTAAACAAACTTTTAAGTATTTTCATAATGATGAATCCATCACTTAATAAGGAACACGATTGCTCTCCTTTTAATCTCTTCATAAAAATACATATGCAAACAATATTATGTGCTTGATGCTTGCTTATTTATTTATTGAGAAAAATTGGGGTCAGTCTAATACATTGAGAGGAAATTATACACATAACATAAAATTCTTATGGTATCGGATCCTAATTTGTAGTGAATCACACACAAGAAAAAATGTGTAAGACATATAAGACGTAAGAGAGAAATAGAGAGAGAGAGAGAGATGAACAATAATTTAGAGAAAATGTGTCACCCTTTTATTCATTGAATGACCCCCTATTTATAGAGAAAATAGGTATCATGTGTGAATTTACATATGTGCCCCTGCTTTAATAGGGGTTGTACATATTAGTACAGGTATTTTACATAAGTGGGCTCAGGGGTCTGGTGACTCTAAGGATAGGCTAGCTAGACAGGCAAATGTTTTGAAAAGGCGTTGTAGGTCAACTAAGCTAGAGAGATCACTCAATCTGCCTGGTCTGGTAGGACTATCAATCGGCTAGGTTTGATGTTACTCGTTGGTTGGATCCTTACTGGAAAATGATCAGAAAAGTTAGCTTGGTTGGCTAAGTGGAGTTGATCGTTTGATCAAGTCTAATCATCGACTCTCAATCCTCAATAAGAAGCTTCTATTGATTAGGCGTAGCTAGGCTATCGGGTAGAAGGTGAATCACTGTAATCCTATAGGTACCCTCCCTTAGACAAAGAGATCTTGGGGTGATGGATGAGATTCATCTCGCTGATTTTTTATGATATTTGAGGAGGCTACTAAATACCTTTAAGGGAATTGTATGATCCAAGGGGTTATCTTAACCCACAAGTTGGTTTCATCGCGGGTATGTCCTGGTTTCTTCTATACTTGGCTACCAGTTGAACTACTCATGTTCAAACCACTTGGCTGCCTTGATTAATTTTGGACTTCATGCTTTTGATCAGATGCATGAGCCCCAAGTTTCCTATCAGCATGCCCCTTTTTACAAGTATTTTCATGTCTGTGTCGTTAAATCTCCTCAAGATTCATGTCATATTTTTTTTTCATATACATATTTAGCTTCTTGATTCTCTTGTTTTTGGAAGTTGTTTTGCGATAAGAATAAGAGAATTTAATATAAAAAGTAAATTTTATTTATAACAATTCAATAATTTATGGGTTTGAACTCATGAAGCCCCGGGTGAGGATAGCCTTGGTATGAAGTCCCTTGTGGGTGAGTTCCTCCTTTGGTCATCTAAGAAGGTTACCAGGAAACCCTAAGGTTAAGTGCTAAGTCCCCATGGGGAGTGGAGAAATCCTCACAAAAGTGAGGTCAACAACAGATCACCGAAACCCAATGTGTTAACCGAAACCCAGTGTGTTAACTTTTTGACCTTAATTTACTTGTAATATGACCCGATAGAATGTCAAAATCCCTTATGATCTAAGAATTCTAGCAGTCGCCTAGAAAACCAATTAGGTTAACACATAATAGGCTAGTAAAATAAACATTTTGTCAAAGGAAAATTGCAACATATATAGAAAAGTAGTGGATTCTTGAGAAATGTTGCATGGTTAAGCCGTGTTAACTGTAATATGATTTCTAATAGGAGTGTCAATTTGAGTAGGCAGGTTGGGTTCGGGTCCGACCTGAAAATGACCCCGAATAGTAAACGGGTTGAATTATTTGACCAAAATCCGACTCAAAAAAATTTTTGGGTCAACCAGAACCCAAATAATTCGAGCCATGCTGTGTGTCGGGTCAATTTTTAACGCCTAGGGGTTAATTTAAGTCGGCGGGTAAGGTTCAGGTCCGACCCGAATCAAGTCAACCCGAACTTAGATTTTTTCAAACTTGAGTTTGAGTCGTGTTGACGTATCAGATCAATTTTTACACCCCTAACTTCCAGTACTTCTGTGACCAAGACAAATTTTAAAGTGTCCCCACATTCCTTGTTTTATGGTATCGGATCCTAATTTGTAGTGAATCACACGCAAGAAAAAATGTATAAGACATATAAGACATATTGTAGTGAATCACACACAAGAAAAAATGTGTAAGACATATAAGACGTAAGAGAGAAATAGAGAGAGAGAGAGAGATGAACAATAATTTAGAGAAAATGTGTCACCCTTTTATTCATTGAATGACCCCCTATTTATAGAGAAATGATGTATCATGTGTGAATTTACATACGTGCCCCTGCTTTAATAGGGGTTGTACATATTATTACAGTTATTTTACATAAGTGGGCTCAGTGGTCTGGTGGCTCTAAGGATAGTATGGCTAGACAAGAGAACATTTTGAAAAAGCATTTTCGATCAACTAAGCTAGAGAGATCACCCGATCGACCTGGTCTGGTAGGACTATCGATCGACTAGGTTTGATGCTACTCGTTGGTTGGATCCTTATTGGAAAATGATCAGAAAGGTTGACTTGGTTGGCTAAGTGGAGTTGTTCGTTTGATAAAGTCTAATCATCGACTCTCAATCCTCAA